CCCCCAACCACCACGCCTTCATAGCCACCCCCGCTTCATTCCAGTGATTAAAACCCAATGCAAAGAATCTAAACCCTGTAATCAATAAACGTAACTACTTACCGAAAGACAAGCTGCAGTTATTAGAGAATGTGTCACCTCAGAACCCAAACAAAGCGTACGGGATACAATTTTCATAATGCAATTCTGACTGTTTTTTTTCTTCTAAAATCAAAACATAGGTTCCCAAATCATTCTTTCTAAAATATGGGACTTCATGAGCGGTTTTAATTTATTCAAAGAAGGGTGACCACAACTGGACTTTTACCCATCTGTTTTACGATGACGAGTTCATATTATGGTGGAGGATATCATAATTGCTTTTCTTAAAAATTGACAAGAAATGTTATTGATAGGTATACAATATTTTTTTCGTTGCTTTTCTAATTCAAGCACAACACTTTCTTGTAGCAGAAAATGAATGTACCTTGTGACATAGCCCCCCCCCTTTCTCTTCCGCTACGTCAAGTCAAAGAATACACCTTTTCGAAGACGGAGCAAAGACATTTAAAAAAAATTAACAAAATAAAAATAGATAAATAAATAAATAAATAAATAAATAAATAAATAAATAAATAAAATAAGACTCAATGCGGTGAGTTAAAAGACAGAAAGATGCTTTAGGTCATATTTTTTATGTTGTTGTTTAGACTAAAGCTATTTTCTCCCTGAACATTGACTCCGGAGACTAGGAAAAGCAAGACTTAAACGTGAGGGATGTGTTTTATATTTGCCACTCTCTTGAAGGGAGCAAAACTTTGAAATGTGTACATACTTCAGTGGAAGATTATATTTTACATACCTATTAAAAATCTGTGCTGTAATAGAGATCTTATTTTCTCTTAAAAGATATTGTTATGATTTCAAAAGGAATAGGGAAAAGGTCGTCGATGGCAGTTTCAAAACGATATCGACAGTTCGGTAAAAATCGTGGAAGATGTTGTCTGTGTCTGATAATGAAGCGTCGACCAGAAAAGCGGTGAAAACCGAGACAGAATTTTGTCGGCAGTAGGTCTACGTCTAAAATAATTATAACATAATTCTGCAAGTTATGCACATCATTAACGACGGAACATAAAGCTTTTCAGTGAGGATTTTGCAAATCTTTCAATTCCACGGGTCATAGACGGGGGGG